GAACAAGTGTGGGTTTAGACTGTGGTTTTGCAGCACATGTGTAAAAAGAGTGCTGTTTGTACAGGATGGTATGAAATTTTGTCAGTGTGACTGAGGCAGGTGGATTGCTTGAATGAGAAAGAGACAGAAGGCATGGAATGAGGACCAATATATAATAAACCCAGTGATGGGCTGGGTGAGGATTTTAAGTGAAAAAACGTGTTCTAAATTTTAGAAGAAGTCTTCATTCTGAAAATCATTTGGGAAACCCTACCAGACAGCAAAATATCCATAGACTCCATGGCTGTTTTTTTGCAAGAAATATTAAAATAGCTCTGTAGTTATTTCTGGATCTAACAGTAAGTCAGGACAAATGGCCAGTGCCAGTCAAACCCTAATCGTGCCTACAAACAAACCCTAACCATTAACCCATTCCCAAGAATAGGCCAGGGATGACTGCCAGACTACATCTAACAACAGAAGATGGACTCTGGTAGCAACATCTCCAGAACTACCTCAGTGGTATTGTCTGGGTGCTGCAGCAGCTCAGTCTCCTGCCTCCATTGTCAATGAAATCCTGACTCTAACCCCAAACCTAACCATAACTTGAAGCCTGACTCTACTGCCAGCTGTGATGTGATTGCAGGGTGATCGATGGCCTCTGCCAGACCCAAAACTGCTCACAGATAGGTGGTCCACTTCAGCTACGAGATTAAAACTGAATCAATAAACCCTTGTAATACAGGGAAAATGCTTAGGATTGAGTTTACAGTAAGAATTAGAATTAGAGATGGGGTCTAGGACAACATGAGGATGACTGATAGCTTCCTGAGAGGTCTCCTACCCCAGCATGGGAATAATGTGACAGGGGCACATATCTTTATATTGAAGGGCTGACAGAGCCCACTCTTCTTAACTGTAGCTCTACTATTTTGTATAACATTTGGGGTTAAATTGGAAAGTATGAGTTATGACTGGATCTAATTGGGGTTGCTTAGGTTAACAACCATTGCTACATAAGTCTTTTATTTTGGGATTAATTAGGGATAATGTCAGGGTGATATATCAAGAAATCTTGGTGACAAATGTTTACAGATTTCGGTAATCAAAATTTCAGAACAAGAGCTAGAGCTGGGTTTGCAGGTTTATGGGGGCCAGGGGATGAGGGTGACCATGGAGCAGGCAGCACCCAGCCCCACAGACCCCACCAAGGCCACCAAGACCAGCAGAGCTGGGCCAGGGTGGCAGTGGGACCGGCCCAGACCCCGCAGCCACCAGGCAGTTTGTAGCTGAAGGCATATGTCAGTTCTAGCTGTGATAGCTTCTTCTGGGAGAAAAGTAAAAACAAACAGAGAGAGGGAGGAAGGGAAAAGATAAAAGGAATACTTTGCCCAGAGCCAGCTGGGAAGAGCAGCATCGAGGTCCCAGACCACAGTCATCCTCTGGGACTCTCTCCAGAGCAGCAGCTGGTGAGGATGAGGATGATTTTCATCATGTTTTTCCTCTTGTACCCTTTATTTTCCATTGGGACCTGCTCAAACTCTTCTCTGGGTGTTCCTGTTTATGATGGTATTAGCACTGATCAGAGTATGCTAATCAAGCACAAATGTTTCAACATTGGCAATAATAATTATTATTGCCTACTTTTCTGTGCACTCTGTTTGGTTTTCTCTAATATAAACTAACATTTACAAACCAAAAGGCAATGAAAAGGGGGGAGAGGAGGTCAATTCCCACAGCAGTGGGAGCTGCTTCCCATGAGGACCTGTCTTGACAACTCTGCCAGGATTTGCAGGTGCATGGCCATGAAAATAACAGCACAAGAACAATAGCATAAAAACAATTAAGGAAAAATACTGCCAAAGGGAGTCTGGAAAACACTGCCTGAATGACTTCAGGAAAAGATTTTGGAGCTGCAAATAGCAGGCCCTTAATGTTATGAAGGCTAAGGCAATGGGGTACTTAAGGCAGCACACGTGTGAGACAACCACTGTTTTGTAGCAGGGTGACAAGTCCTGGACATTTTTGTGGATCTCCCTGAGGGATCCCAAGCCTTTACAAGATCAGCCTGTCAATAAGGGATATAAACAATGGTCTCCTGCAGCAGGCAGTGAAGGCTCTGTGGATCTGTGATGGGTCAGAAACAGTTCGTTCAAGTAGATCAAGGACTTTGTGAGTTGCACCTGCCTAGCTTAGATGTAGGTATTTCAGGTCCCAAAGGGCTTCTTCAGTGCTTAGCCCTGAGACTGGCAGGCGTCACTGCTCCTTGCCAAAAGAGAGGCTGGATCTCGGTGTCTTGTTGAGATTGGAATAGGTCAGTGAGTAACGTCTAGGGATCTACAATGTTTTCTTGTTTTCTTTCCAGGTAGTTTATACTCATCTTTTTTTTTTTCTTTTTTTTTTCTTTTTTTTTCTCTTTCAAGCCAGGTGTGACATAGTATGTGCATGGCTGCTTAGCTAAAGTCAACAGCACACAAGCCCCAAACCTAAAGTCAACAGCACACAAGCTCCAAACCTATCCCTAAGTATTTGCTGTGGATCTAAATACAGCAATATGATGGCAAGTCAGAATGAAATTGGAAATAACCCCTTTCCCTCCTCTGAACATGATCTGTCAGACAGTACTTCCCACACATATAATTACTGATTTCATGCTATTATTTCATTGTGCTGGAAGAATTCTTTGAGAAGTATAACAGATCCTTACCAGTAATTTAAACTAGCTACCAGTCTACATCCTGGTTACTGCATATCTACTGCCAAGACACTGTTTTGGTAACAGTTAATAATCAGCTGTCTGGACTACCTCACCGTAAACATTACAGGGTTTCATCACTCATGTTTTATTTAATTCCACTTGTCATCAAGGTCTATTATTGGAGCCTTACAATTTTGTTCAAGAGAACTGATTTTTACTACTGTTGAAAGCTCCTCTACATACTTTTTACACTCTATTCTCCTGAGCTAGGACCCTTTTCTTTTAGTTCTCAGGTTGACATAAGATGTTTGTTCAAACAAATTCATTAGATGATTGACAAGCTATAGGTGTCCCTGGTGGTATATGTTTGAGATGCCAGGGGGAAAAAAAGGAAAATGCATAGCAAAAATAGCAAATTTAGCTTGGGCTAAATACAACCACCTGTCTTTGATTCCACTCATACTGCCACAAAGCCCCTCGTGTTTACCATCCCGCAAAGGTATGTCCCAGGTGAAGAAGGTGTAAACTGAAATCATCCTTCCCTGTATACTACATCCTTCTCTCATTGCCTTTGTTTTCTCCCCGTTACATCCACCTACACTTAGCCTGCAAGCATGCAGTGTAGATGAAGCAGGCAGTTAACTGGAATAATGCAATGGTTAAAATGGTCAAAAACTTGCACAGGAGTGATGACGGAGCAGCTCCTTCAAGATCTGCTGTTCCAAAGGGTCTCAAGTGACAAAACCAAGTAATCACTTCAGCACCTGCAATAAGAAGTGATGGCCCTGCCACTCACATGCTGGCTTAACTCTACGTTTCCTCTGTCCCCTGGCTCTGCTTTTCCTCTCTTGCCAAGAGGAGAGGCTGCACAGGAAAGACCAGCAGCAGGCAGAGAGCATGCAGACTGTGCTCCTGAGGAGCACAGGAGAAAAGGATCCAGGTCACTGTGCCAAGGAATGGTTGCTCATCCTCCTAACTGAAGGAGCCCAGAAGAGGCGGTGGCCAGGCTGGAACGAGCCTCTCACATTCCACAAGCCCCAGAGATACACAAGCCTGACATGTTTGGAGGAGAAATTCCCTTTCCCAGAAAAGACTGGTCAGAGCTGGTGTTTCCTGAAAAAGAAGCCAGACAAATCAGCATTTTTCTGTTGGAACATCTTCCTTGTGCAGATCTGTGGTTGGGAATACCCCAGTGTGAAAGCTAGCAGTGGGAGATACCTGAACAGAACAGGGAAAGGCATCTGTTTCCTAAAAGTTGCCAGCAGATGCTAAGGTAAATACTTTTTTATTGAAGGTCACTAAGCATGTTGTTATACCTTGGTCTAGACAGTCAAGCTTAGCACCCTGTTCAGGCACTGCCTCAGATAGTTGTGCTCTGCAAGGCACAAAATCACGTTAGCAAGGCCTGGAGCATAAAAGAATAAGCCCTGCTCAGAGTTGTGTGTATAAATAGCTCAAGACAAGCACAGTGCTATGCTGGTGCCACTATTTGGCCCCAAACTGTCCAGCTTCTGGATTGCTCCAAGTGCAGGTGGAGCAGATGCACAATGTTCTGCGTTTGTCCACGTGGAGATCTCCCACCCTGAGGAGCTCAGACATGTTTTGCCAAGAGCAGCAAACATCTTTTTGCTTTGTACTGCACTTCCCTCTATCTGCCCTGTGATTTACCCTTTCTCTGTTGTTGCTGACCTTTCTCAACTCTGAAGCTGCTGCTCCAGGCACAGTACTTGGAGTAATCACTGGTTGTCACTGAGGAATTATAAGTCCTCCAGATAGTAGAATCAATTCTCTTTGGAGTTGTGGTTGTCATTGCCCCTAGAAAGGACTGAAACATTTGCTTTGCAAAAAGTTAAACCTTTATCCTCAACATCCTCCTTTAGGTTAAAGAGAGTGGGATGTGGTAAGAACAACCTTTGGGGCACCCAACATGCTGTAGATGCAGGGTCTGAAGCTAGGAAGGTAGAGGTAGCTGTTTTCCATAACCTTCTGGTATGGCCTCTGCTGCCTCCCAGGCACAGCTTTTCCAGAACTGGATTAGTGACTGGGGATGCCACCAGCTCTTGGAGTTGAAGTGGTTTCGCCCAGAAGGGCACATGGGTCCAACCTGCATAATACAAATACATTTTTACAAAGACCTCTGCCAGGATTTCCTACTAGTGCTTTGCTCACTTGCTGGGGTAAGCCCAAGCAGTGTTAAAAGGCATTTAAGTGGGCAAAGGAGAAGAAGGGGAGATCTGGGGGCTTCAAAGTGCTCTTCTCCTCTCTTCAGGTGGCTGGGCCCAGAGTTTTCCAGGGGGTTCCATTAAGGGGGCTGCAGCCCCTGTGTCCCTGCCTCTCCCTCCACTCTCCTCTACACCCCCAGGGCTGCATGGCTTTGGGAAGAGAATGGTAGAAAGAAGTCAGTGCAGGTAGAACAGCTGTGGGAGCAGCTGAGACAGATGCCAGAGTGTTTTGCTCAGTTTTCACCAGCCACACTCTGTCTTTCACAGCTCTGTGCTCCAAAACCCGTCTCCCCCCCGGCTCACATCTCTTCATCTCAGCTTCAGCCATATGGGACCCCATCTCCTGTTGCCTTCTCGCTGCTCTCCTGCCTGGAAACAACCTCCCCTTTCCTCCATCTTCTCCTCTTCCTTCCTGACACAGGCTTGTTCCCCACAGCCTGCCCTGCCTGTTTTGGGCACGACCTCTCCATTGCTCAGTGTATACGCCCAGCCTGGCATGCAGGGGTTCCTTCTCAGGCACCGCTGTAGTAACAACCGCAGAACTGCATTGTGCTCGTGTCTTTACTAGCTTATACAGGAATATACAGTGGTGTTTTACAAGGCTATAAAAATACATCTTAAAGGAAGCGAGCACAGGAAAACAGGAGGAGTGGGGCCAGATCAGCTGATGTAAATAAAGGCTGCATTGAATTAAATAGCGCTGCGACTATTTACAGCAGCTGCAGGACCTGGCCTGTGGCCTCCTCTTAAAGCAGGGAGGTGCTGCAACATCCCCTTTCTGTTCTGGTAGATGCTGGCCCAAGCTCCCCTTGCCCTTGTAGCAAAGAGGGATGCTGGCAGGGATGAGGAATGGGAAGCACAGCCGTACTGCACCTGCAGAGGGTGATGCTTACAGCCAGGGTGCTGCATGGTGCCCAGCAGTGAGGACCGGCTCATTTCCTTCTGCCTGTCCCCACAATAGACTGGCTGTCACCTGGGGATAATTCCCCATGGCTGGATCTGGGCAGGAGTTGCAGTATTCACCAAACCATGCCATGTCGAGGCTCCAAAAACTACTTGGCAAGGTAAGGTCAAATCCAGCACAAGGGGTGGACTTCTAGGTGGCACAAAGATGACAAGAAGAAAGGAAAGGAAGTCATTTGGGAAAGGTCAAACATCACATTTTGACATTTTCTGTTCTGAGAACAACTGAATTTGTTTCAGTTTAACCTGAAACAAGTGTTAAACTTTCTATTCAGCCCCTGAAATGATAGACTTGTGCCGTGGTAGTGCTTTGTGGATTACAGACCTGCTCCCTGGGGTGTACAGCAAAGCTCATTTCATCTTTCCTGGATCAAATTTTTGTAAGAACAAAAATTCCAATAGCGATCCTTCAGGAGAGATGGTTTCCCAGTGAGGCTTCAGGATAATGTGAACTTCCATCTCTGGCAAGCTGCTGTACTGAGCACTCACAGAATCCAGGTATGCAAGTAAAATAAATGGACTAGTTTTGTAGGATTACATTCATGAAATGGATAATGCTGTTTTCATGTTGTTTATGTTGTTCTTCCAAGATTTTTCAGGGATAAAGGAAGTTTTCTCTGTGGGAGTGAAGTTCCATCAACAATCAGAAGAGACTATGGATAGGAAATGTTACCTTTACACTCAACCAGACTGCCTCAGTTGTCTTGTTTGAGTTGACTACAGATTTCCTTATGTTCAAAGCATAGCATTTTAACTTCTGTTATAAATTACAAAAATTAAAATATATATATATTCAGTTTTGAATTTTTAAAATAAAATAGATTTCAACCAATGGCATCACTTGGGGTGTGTGTGGTTTTTTCTTATATTGTTGAAATAAAATGCTCAGAGAACTTCAATGACATTTAAGTATGCATTTGTCAGCTGTGTCCTGAAAAAAAGCAAACAAAAAAAAAAACACATAGATTTACATGGTTCTTTGGAAGTTTTTTATTTATTTTATTTTTAATGAAACAAACAGCTGTAAATAAAAAGTGCAAACTCTCTTCCCAGCAGCCAGGTTTGTGATTTGGCTGCGGATGGGTGATGAAAGGAGGTCACGTATGGGATGGGTCTTTCAGCTTGCATCTCTGGTGGCTCTGCTCACATCCACCTTGGCTGGGGAAGAGAGTGGTCCAGAGCTGCCTGATGCTCATTTGCACCTGCGTGCTGGGGTTGTAGAGCACCACCAGGTCTGCTCAGGGACAAAGTGACACCCATCCAGGCTGGGAAATGGTGGGCTTTGGATCACAGAGGGTCTCTCATTCTGGATCCCAAATCTGAGATTAACAGTCTGGAAGCATTCATGGCTTCCCCCGTGGCCTGAATCTTAGCAGCTAGCCTGGGAGAGGAGGAGGATGGGTTAAATCCCTTTCAGCTTGCCTTGGGTTGGGGCTCATCAGCAATGGCTGGCCAGAGCACACTCACCGTGAGCACTGGGCTTTGGCTCCTTTTGTGAGAGGTCTGTGCTTCCAGGGCTGTGTGCATCTGCAGTTGTGTAAAACCGCTTCTAAAGCGCCCCTTTCAAACGAGCTGAGGAGATACACTGGGGAGAAGGAAAAATGTGCTAAGATGTGATTGCTAAATAAGAAATCTATGAGGCCGGTTTGGCATCATAGAGGCTTCTCCCTGCGATTTGGCAGGGCTGTCTACACGGTGCACAGGTGCAAATGGCTTCTCCAGGGACCAAGCACTGCAAAACTCGGCCTCCTTTCCAGAAAAAGGCAAGTGGGGAAATAAAACCACTGGACCAAACCCTGCCCTCATTAACACCCCTGAATCCTACTGACTGAAGGCAAAATGTTCCCCAGATTGAGCAAGAAAAAGATTTTTATCTCCTTTTCCTGGTTTGGCCAGCAAAAGCTCAAGTCTGGTCTCTTCTATGCTAATGGAGACATACTGACTGCCCTGGAGTCATGAAGGAGGGATTTCCTCCACCACCTTTCCATTCAATGCTTTCTATGTGTCATTTAATAGATCCAAGCAGGGCTCATGATTTCCATATTCCCTCTGTAGGAGATGGTCCTGCTGCATCCCAGGTCCTCCCTGGAGCTTGGGACAGTCAATTTTCCATCACCGTGTGTGTCACCAACCTCCAGCAGCTCTGGAGCTCCCTTGACTCCCATGTGAACATACAATGGAGCATACGTTGCAAATAACTCTGTTCATCCTTTTTTTTTTTTTTTTTTTTTTTTTTTTTGGATGGACTACAAAAAGAGGCCATGAGGAAGCATGTACTATATCATACTAATAGGCCTTTTTATAAGTTATCAATGAAAAATTGAAATGGAAATATGCTGGGACTAGCCAAATGTAAAAAAAAAAAAAAAAAAAAAAAAAAAGCAGTACTTTTTACAAAGCCTCACCCCTGCCAGTTCTTTGTTTTTCACTGGGAAGAAGAGCAAAGCAATTTGGATAAACTAATGTTTATCTAAATGTTCAAAGTGTGCAGAGGTCTTTGATAGCAGAGCAACCCCTCTGCAGCTTGGCTTTCTGACATACACCCTGCTGGGCTCTACTTTATGTGCTGCAATCACCAGAACATTATACTCAGGTACAGAATAAGTAGATAAATACATACTTTAATTAAAATAACATCATTTGTCCACAACATTTCAAAGTTTTCTCTTTCTCTGGTCTTAATATTTAATACTGCATCAGGACTTCTCTATGCTTATTGAGCTACAAATGTGGCAGTCTTCTTCATTTAGTAGAGTAATTACATAGAGTTGTGATAATTCTTTGCAAGATTTATTACATAAATATATATATATATTTATAATTGCAAAAGAAAATTGTAGAAGACAAGACAAAGAAGACATATAATGTGTCTCCATTTTCATCTCAGCTATTTTGCTGCAGGACTTTTAATTCTCTCAACATTTTTCTTCCAGTTATTCACTTGTGCTGCTCTAATATCACTCTACTGTGATGACCAGTTGGGCAATATATAATCATAATGCATGCAGACAGCACCAGGGAGTTAAAACCTGACCATAATGCAAGTATTATTCTACCAGCTTGATGAACTCATTTACAGCTATGGTTCAGGTGATAAAATTACAGAGCTGTAAATCCCTTTGGTATTCTGGAGTCCTTTAGCTGATGTCATTTTTCACTGGGAATAACATATTATTTCTTTCTAGAGAACTGGGCAGTGCAGGGAAGGTGGATAGATATGGTTCCTAAATGCAGTTTGTGCAATAGGGATGCTGAAGTAAAATATACACAAAAATTAATAGCTTTCCTGATCTGAACTCATGTTTCTCATGCTCTTTGGATTACAGTAGGGTTACCCTTCTGGTGTCTGCACCCCAGGGATTCACATCTGTGTAAATGTGGTAATAGAAAAAGGCCCTCGTGATGAATTCATGAATTGTTCTCATTGACACTGGTTGATACTTTTACTTGGACAAGTCTCCTTTGCAGGTGCACTGACCACACACTAATTGAAAGGATTATTTTCATAACTTTCTGTGCAGTCTGCAAGGCTTTCTGTGAAAAGCATAATTGTTTCAACCAGCTGCTTGGACTTGTTTTTATTAATTTCTTTAAATCCAACAATGCTGGATCGGCATATTTGAGACTCTCCCCCAAACTACATATGAACATAAATAAAATCAGTGCATGTGGCTCTTGCATGGGGAGAGAACTTTCCTTGCAAGTTCAGCATTTCTGTGAGGAAAACAAGAGAGAAAATCTCTTTTAAAATGTACTTTTCTCCCAGTCCCTTGCTATTTTTAACCTCATCCCCAAAGCAAATCCTCAATGTGCAGTATGTCTGCGTGGCACCTGTTGGGATTAGCTAGGACCAGAGCAGACACACTGCGAGTCCATGCATTTGCACATGCCTGATACATCTAACCCTGAGTTTAGGCTGTACAAAGCCTCAATCATAAACGTTTCCTCGAGTTGTGTTATTTCCCCTTTTTGGGTGAAAGCCAGGCCTCTCCTCTTGTCTCGCCCCCCTCCCCTTGCTGTCCCACATGCACAGGGCTTGAAGGTGGCTGGAATACAATGCAGGAGATCTTGATGATACAGCACCCCAGACTTCAAGCATTTTTAGTGCAAATTATTCACACAACCCTCATCATCTGTGTACTTCCACAGACTCACAGATTTCCCCCTTTCTCCCATGGGGGAAGGTGGTTTTGTTGAGCAAACCCTGTGATTTCCCTCTGACCCACCCTGCCTGCCTCCTGTGAGTCAGAAGAAAGCAACTGCAAATGTTTAAAAATCAGGCAATGAGCCTTGCAAAACCAAGAGGCTGTCCCAGAAATTATTGGCTATTAATATGCATGTAAAAGTAGTTTTTTTTTAATCTTTGTTATTTGGACTCACAGGGGTAGGACATATTTTCTACTTATTCTCTGCAACAATTTTAGATAGAAATTTTTGTTTCAGAAAAAGTTACTCTGGATCTTAAAAAAAGAAATGCAACAAATATTTTGGGTATTTCCAGGGAAATAACAAGGACTGGCAGTACAGCTGGTCCAAAAAATGAAATTGCCATTTCTGGACATGTTTTGACATGTTCAAGCTTGTTTCCACTCCAAAACAGAACAAAACCCCAATTGTTTAAATACCATAGTATTTCATTTCCAGAAAAAAAAAAAAAAAGAAAGAAAGAAAAAAAGCAACACTTTATTCCAGCAGTGAAAATACTGTTTTGATAATAGTCATGTGAAATTAAATAGAGCGTGTACTAATGTAGTTCAGAATTAAAAATGACATAAAACTGCCAGTAGCCAAGGGAGATAGAGCACCTCTCCCAGTAAGGTTTCATTGCATCCTGAAGCAGGTGTCAGCAAGGCACCTCTGGGGTTGCTCTATCTCTTGGTTGAGTAGAGGATGAACTTCTGAAGGAGCTTAAGCCAACCTGTGACCAGGCTGCTACAGTCCCACCTTCCTACCCAGCCCTTGCCTATGCTAACTTTATTGTGGGCCATCATGTTAATAGGGCTACATTTGCTTTTTCTCTAGCTCTGGTCTGATGCCAAAATGCTCTCATGTGGACATCTAGCCTGGGATTTGTTGTACGCTGGGCAAATACTCTGACCAGGAAGGTATCATGCCCAGGGCATTCAAAGGCTGACCTGGGGAGGCCCAGGTGATTTTGTCTGCCAAAATCCCTCCGTCCTCATAGTGCTAGCTCTAAGGACCTCCAAACACCACAGCTTAGTGCATGGGGTTGAGGCCCAGCAGAACAAAATCCCCACAGAATTCCTGACCTGCCTTGGCACAGATGTGTTCCCTCTTTGATGTCAATGTCTGAGCTGTTCAGTTCACTGGAGGAATGCTCTTTCACACTGCCATCCTCCAGGCAAGGAGGTGGCTAGCCAGACATCTCAGTTCCCATCCTTTCATCCCCTGTCTGTGTTTCTTTGGGCCACGAGCAGCGTAGCCTCAGCAGAAGCATTTGCCATGTTCCCACCTTCTGCTGCTCACTTTCCAACACTTGCGGGGAAGCACTCCCTGAGGACCCCAGGTCGCTGTTTGTCTCGGAGCAGGCAGAGGTTTTCTTTGGCAAGAAACAAAACAGCTTTTACTGCATGGGGCCCCGCGCTGCTCAGTATGGCCAAGGACAGCATCGTCCCACCATGCAGCTGAGGAGCCTCTTCTCTTTCTAAACAGGTGGATAAATCAAGTGCTGCTTTATTCGTGTCGTTTAGTCATTACTGAAAACCATGTTCAGCTCCAGAGTCCGCTGCCATAAACTTAACAGAAAAGCTAAGGATTGCCTTGTGAAAAAGAGTGTTTGTTTTCCTACTGAATAATACAAAGAAAGAATAGGATTGATTTAATTCAGTAACCAGAGCATGCCAACTCCTTCCAAGATAGGAAGTGCTCTATAATGTGG